ACAAGAAAAGTACATATATGAAACACATTATAAGAATAAACAAATCTCAAAATATCATGAATATGGAGATACGTACCGGCAACAACGTCAGGTGCCGTGCGGACCTCCTCCGCAGTCAACTGGAAGGCTCTCCAATGAGCTCTCGGAGCCTGGTTCTTCCCCGGTCGGCCATCAGTAACACGCAAAGAAACAGGAGTAGAAACCTGGGCTGGTACCTGAGTGAGCTGAGGACACTCGACCTTCCGGTGGCCAGTTTGGTTGCAATGAAAGCAAACCGAAAATACCTTGGGGTAGTCCTTCGCCATATGCCCCTCCTTGCTACATTTGTAGCAAATCCTTGCCGACAAGATCCCTCATGACTCTTGACACACTTGCCAGAAGTTCGGCCCTTCTGGCCTCCTGCTCTCGTATCAGCTGGCTTAGCCCCCTTGGTCGCCAGTTGTGACTGCACTGGTCTCCTGTCTCTACCCTGAGACTCTCCCTCATCTCTAGTCTGAATCTCCAGCTCAATCTCCCTCCTCCTGGCATTGATCTGTAGCTCAACCAATGTTCGATATGAAGAGTTCACCATGAACTCCCAAATATCTCGCCTCAAAATGCTCAAGTACTGGGTCACACGTTCCTGCTCCGTAGACACGTGCTCAGGGCATGAAACATCCTTGTAATTTCTGTCACGGTTTCTGTCTTCTGCTTGAGAGACAGAAACTCCTAGGCCAATCGTTCCCTCTCCACCTGGGAAACGTACTCATCTCAGAATAACTGGGTGAACCTCTCCCAAGTTATTACTACATGGCTTGCAAGAGAATAATCAGTCGTCACAAACCTCCACCAATCCTTCGCTCCCAAGCGTAGCTGGTTCAGCGCAAATCGAACCTTCAGGTCCTCAGGACATTAACAAGTATATTAACATCCCTAGATATCATAAATCCATCTCATAGCAGATATCAGGTCCTGGGTCCTGTCGAACTCCGATGGCTTCGTGTTGCTGAACTCTCGGAGCAACAACGAATCACCCCCCGGTGGCCTCGCAGCTGCAAGGGTTGCGGCAGCGGCAGCCTCCGTGACAACAGCATACCACTCGTCGAAAGTCTCAATCAACGTGGTCTTAATAGACCCGAACATCTTTGGAATGACCTCCCTGATAGCTACAACCACCTCACTCGTAATGATCCTGCGAATCTCCTCATCACTGGTACTCGCCCTCTCGGGGTTGCCGGAGCCTGAACCTTGGGTAGCCACCATAATCTCTATGAAAAATAAACACAGAAATCATCAGGGACAGGATAAAGCACACATGTATATACACGTCCCTACATGCTCTTTAGTATCCTAAGAATCTTACTTGATTCGCGTACAGATCCGGTGCTTTCAGTAGTACGGGCCTAATACTACCTTCCACACCAACCCACATTCACCTCAAGTCCTCCTCTTAGGATCCTAACTCACAGGTACTTTACCCCTTATGGGTATCCAACTACTCTCTCAATGTACTCCTCAAGCTAAACATGTAGATACTACTCCTAGATCTCTCCTCAACTCTAATCCGTCTCGTATAGATCTCCGCAATGTACAACTAAACAATATATAGAACAAATGGCAAGAATAATGTCGTTCAAGAACGACCTCCTAGGCTAAGGCATCATGAATCAAGAAACTCTAACTCAAAATTCCTGATAATAACTAGCCTAGAATATAGCATGCAGTACTAATAGCTCAATAGTAACTCATCTCATAATATACTCAAGTAAGGGTATTTTGGGAAATCATCGCTCAGACTCTGGCTGATTGTACACACTGCTTCGTCTCGTTTTCTCTTGAATTCTGTTTGCTCATTTAGAAAACCATTTCTTTTTGAAATTTTTTTCTCAAATCCTTAGTTTGAGTCCAGACATACCCGAGGGTACATTCGAATCCCTTAAAAGAATGCTCTGATACCAACTTGTAACACTCTAAATTTTCATATAAAATTTTCATTTTTAATTTCATGAAAAACAAAGTTTAACATCTCATACTCAGTTTATAATTGTTTCAAAACACAACCATATAAAACTGTTTGTGACATATCCCAGAATCCTCAAAACATAAGTCAACAAGTTGGTGTGTACAATCATGTCGGCGCCTTTCCGCAATCCTGAGATGTACCTGAAACACATTCCATACAACATTGTAAGCACAAAGCTTAGTGAGTTCCCCAAAATACCACACACAATAATTAGCCTCTCATGGCTATAACTCGATAAGGACCCTCCGGTCATGTGTCTCAGTGAAGACCCTCCGGTCTCACGGCTCGGGTTGGACCCTCCAGTCCTGTATCTCAGTGAGGACCCTCCAGTCTTACAAATCGGGTTGGACCCTCTGGTCCTATATCAATAAATGCACAGACTAATATACAACATCAATCACAAAGACAAAATGCATAATAACACATATCTCGGTATAAACACATAAGACCCTCTAGTCAATAACACAAATAAGACCCTCCGGTCGCATAGTAATTACCACTCAGGTAAGTATAGTGAGAAGACTCACCTCGCAAAGTAAAGCAGTATATTCCGTACCCGAACTTCCGGTCTAGACTCCGCCTAACATATATCACGTATTACTCTAATTAATAATTGATATTAACAACCCCCAAAAGATGTTAGGCTAAGTTCCCTGACTAATTCTCAGAAGGGTAAGAGACCATTTTACCCCTCCATGGCCTCCAAAGTCCACAACTTGACCAAAACCCTAAAAGTCAACGAAACTCAACACCCAGCGCGTACGCTGGGCATACGTCCCTCTACACTGGGTATTCATTTAGTCAAGCATGCATCAGGGTGGCTCAACGGTACGCTGCACGTATCTGGGAGTACACACAGCGTACTCCCCAGGTTTCCTCTTTTCACTCTTTTAGTCTTAATTCGTTAAGACCATTGCTACTACTACAAATCTCGGCTAGATAAAGTCCATGTAAGTCCCAAAACTATGGATCTTATGCAATATCAATCATAATTGCTTAAAGAATACGAAATGTTAAATAAGCAATGATTAAAGAACACAAAATAACTTCAAATGCACATGATTCTATTATCAATAAACCGTCTGGTACATAAGAACTCAAAGCAGCCATGACCAAAAGAATAGAACAACTGACTCCTATACGGCTGAATATATATATATATATATATATATATATATATATATATATATATATATATATATATACACACACACAAAGTACAACACCACAAAAAGCCCAAACCCATCATGACCGAAATCACCAAAGTGATTTCGGACCTTACAACCGAAAACATAGAAAGCCCATTAACAAAATGCTATTCTAAGCCCAAGAACAATAAACGTTATGAGTCCAGTATAAACCATAAAAATATGACCCAACAATCTTCCCCTTGGTTTATTGCTAGCTGCTTTTACAGCTTGTCTACAAGATGAACATCAGACTAATCGAATGCCCCAACCCACGGCTTCTTGTCAATTATTGTGGCAACCATTCTAGTGAAAGCTTTTCCAGCAACTTCAAATAATTCATTTTCTACTATAAGTTGAAAATGTGACAAAGTATGAATATCACGTTCTCCAAACTTCAACAAATCTTTGGGATCGACAATGCGATACTGGCCCTTCTTTAGCTTGATCACCGTCGATACGGTAACCTCATCATAAACCCAGAATTGCATTGAGTCCAAAGTGCCTTCTGGTAAACGTTTGGGAAGTGGAATCCTTTTAGCTTGCTTTGTGGGCAGCCACATAACATCCACCATGGTTTTGTTAGTGTGAGGATCAATGACATCCTTAGCCTTTTTTGTGAACGATGAAGCAGTCTTCATGCCTTTTAATTTATTTTTAGCTTGATCCTCAAGAAACCTCTTAAAATCCCAGGCCGTGGAGTCATTGGTTGGATTGTTGAAAGGAACATGAATAAGTTTAGCAATATCAACTTTTGTCCAGGACATAAAGTCAGATGCCTTCTCATAATACTCAATTTGACTGCTCTTTCACTTCACGACCCACATTTTCGTGTCGGAATCGTACCCCCACATCAACATGCCAGAGCGATCTCCATAGATGTCAGTAAATTTCTTCCCAGTTTCCCTTAAAAACATTTCAGGGTGATCACCTGGAACATACTGATCCGAATGCTTCATCGCTAACATCTTCCCTTTCAGCTGCTCAATTCGAGCTTGCTTCTCTCTTCTTTCTTGAGCAGAAGAAGGACCAGAAGATAAAAATGTGTCAAAATTTGCGTCTGGAGCAGGTCTTACAACTCCTTCACTTGCATGTTGAGAAGGTGGATTCACTAGATCAGAACTAGAAGCAGAAATCTTTTCGCATTCAACGCTTAAAGGTTGAAAATCATCACCAAACTTCTGATGTAAGCGCTATTTCAGGTCAAAGAATAAAGCAGTTAGACCACTAAGATTTGCTTGAAGTTCGTTAATCTTCGCATCTTTAACAGAGTTCTCCTGTTCAAGGTTAGAGACTCTCACATCCAGACTACTAATCAGTAAGTCCATCTCAATGGACTCCTAATTCGAAAACATAATCTCTTGTTTGAGCTCAAACATAGTATCTTGTGAGTCCTCATCACCTCCTTGTCCAGAACCAATACATATGCCCTTTCCTCTCGACTGAGGAATAGAGTCTTGAAAAGCAAGAATCTTGGCCAGCTTAATGGATGCAACATCATGCTCTAGAGGTGGTGGAGCAGAAGAGCTTCCTGAAGCAAAAGTTTCCTCATTTGCTATGAAATTAAAGTCATCGTCAAAATTAGGGCTCTGAACGTCTTGATGAACCTGTGTTGATTCAACAATTGGGTCTTGAACATCTTCTTGAACCTAGGTTGGTTCAATGATTGGGCTTTGTACATCTTCATGAACCTGGTCTGGTTCAATGATTGGGCTTTAAACATTTTCATGAACCTGGGTTGGTTCAACTATAGAAACTGATTGTTGTACTAGCTCAGTAATAAGCACTCCCGACCTTGGATCTCTCATTCTTCACTTCCTTGGAATCTGGGAGGCATTTGGTTCTTCTTTAGCACTCTCAGATGGAGATTCAACAGTAACAGGAACTGATTGGGGAGGCTTCCTTGCAGTAGAATGTAGTTCTTTTATAAGTGCATCCATCTGTTCGGGCGTTGGAATATTTGGTTGCCTGAAAATATTGAATTCAGTCTCTGTCTCAGCCGTGGTAATCACGACTTCATTGACTGGCTCCTTCGGTGGAACAAACAAAGGAAAACTCATATCATCAACATCATTGGAGTCATCATCATCATCATCATCATCATCATTGTTATCATCATCATCATCAGGGACTTCAACCGAACTACTGATATTTGACCTTGGCTGTGTCTTTTGTTCTTCTTCCACTAAAGCAATTGGAGTACTAGAAGCTTGGATACCTTCTGTCTCTGCAAATTTTCCAAACTTAACCAACTCTTTTAATCCTTGAAAAGCGAATTTGGCTGATTTTCTTGATTGCTTCATGAGCCCAAGGGTGTTGGGACCCAAAGCTTTTATATCCAAAGTGTCAGATGACCTCTCAATTTGGGGATATTTTTCATTGAAGATCATTTGAATGAACCTGAGATACATCAAAAATAGGTCCTTCTTCTTCCCTTGAATATTGCTTTTCATTTCTTCAAAAACAAACTTCGAAAAATTGTAATCCTAGTCCATTGCAAGAGCCACAATGGTAGAGGTTGCAGTCTGACTAATTTCATCAGCTCCCCCCTTCCTTCCAGAAATACAGATCACAAATCAATGTTCGAGAAACCTCCAGAAAGGTGGAATCAGTTTCTTGATGGTGGGAGGATAAGTTCCTTCATAACACATCCTTTCAAGGGATCCCTTTACTTGATTAACAATATACTCAATTGGAAATGTAGATACATCACCAAACTGAAGCACCTCTCGAATAATTTGCTCGGAAACAATTACTTGAGTTCCCTTCACCATTGATTCAACAGAACCAACTCCATCTGCTTCATGCTTGTTGATTGAAGCATTCTTCCAGAACTCAGCAATTAGGTCCTTGTAAGTGACTGGATTAGAACGCAAAGCGTGGGAAATCCTGCAATTTTTCAAACCCGCGATCATGGACTTGAATTCATTATGCGCGACTGGTGGATCCAAAAGATATCCTGTGATGTTGTGAGTAACAACAAATTTCAACTGCTCCACCATTTATCTACACCATACAAAATAAGTGTGAACAATAAATTTATAACTAAAATAAAAATTAAAATTATAAATTTAAAGTTTGCTCAATTATCAATGATTTCGGTCAAAGGCATTACTCTATGCGTTTTCGGTCAGGTCACAGTTTTAATCATTTTCAGTCAAACCACATTTGACCAAATGATATCAGTCAACAATGTTGTTTTCGGTTAGCTCAATTAGTTTTCGGGTGGATTTATTCGATTTCGGTCAAATGAAACGTTTTCGGTCAAAGCAAAAAGATTTTTTTTGTCGGATCTAGATCAAACTGAAAATCCGAGAAAACCCAACGATTCATATCGCCGGAAACCACCGTCAACATGCCGGAAAACTCCATTAGTCACCTACAAACACTTCAAAAACATAATAAAATGGAAGCACAATGTTCGTACTATGCATACCTAGAGTAGATTTCAAGAAATTAAGTGAGATTCAAAGATGAAGGAAATTTTTCTCGATGAACAGCAAGAAATATCGCTTAGAGTTTTGAGAGAAGAGGGAAAAGATTTCGATGAATTCGGTGGGGGGTTTGAACAATGAAGCCGAAAACACACAAAAAAAAATTTATACCCAAAATTTTGGGTTCTCGGCCTTTTGGCCCACCAAATTTAATGTCAATAGGCTTAATATTTTAATTCGTTTCGTAAATTAAAACAAAGACAAAATAAGATAGAATAAATGCTAAAAGATACACTCAAATAAAAATTCAAAAAAATTAAAAGATACATTCAAAATAAAAATTAAAAAAAATATTTTTGGATTTTTGATTTTTCTGAAAAAGAAATAAAACAGAAATAAACATTTTTTTTAATTTTCCCCCTAAATTTGTGCTTAGAAGAAAAATATGAACAAATTTAACAAAAACAAAAATAATAACTAAATCTAAAACATTTTTGGGATCAAAGTTGTCAAGCAATTCAAAATCGTTTATCAGCACACACCTGTATGTTTAGCTCTGGTCCACTTAAACACAAAGGATATTGACAAATTGGACAGATAATACATGACAAGACATTGTGATTATAGACCATTTTGCCGATGACGACCAAGGATATTGTTGTCCACTTAAATTGAACAGCGAGATCTACAGACAACATTTAGTTAATTCAACTTTAAGCTCACTAAACGTGTTCCCCAATTCACGACATAGCCTAGCAATCAAGGAATTCCAAATAGCTTTTTACTTTAGGTGAGTGATCAATTATTTGAGAGAGAAGATAAATATAGAGATGTATATGTTGTATCCCAGGTCGGACGTTTTCCAATCAAGCAGATGGACAACATATGACTAACATAGATAGAAATAGAAAGATGCATATGTTGTGTCCCAGGTCGGATCTTCCGATCACGCAGAGGGGACAACATATGACTGACATATATAGATAGAAAGAAGCATAGATAGAGATGCATGGAAATAGAGGTGCATATGTTGCGTCCCAGGTCGGATCTTCCGATCACGCAAAGGGGGCAATATATGACTGACAGAGAGGATAAGAAAGTGTAACACCATAAATTTTCAACCAAAATTTTCATTTTCAAAACCACAAAATCTCAATATCACATTTCGAAAACCACAATTGTCGAATTGTCAAAAACACAAATTCAAAAATTGTTTGATAAAATCCAGGATCCTCAAAAAAAACATAAACTCCATCTTGTGTGCATAATCAAGCCGACACCTTCCCGTGATCTTGAGAAGTACCTGAAACACATAACACATAACACGGTAATCACGAACCTTAGTGAGTTCTCCAAAATACTACACATAACTAGTTAGCCTCTCATGGCTATATCTCAAATAAGACCCTCTGGTCGATGTGTCTCAGTGGAACCCTCTGGTCCCACAGCTCGGGTGGACCCTCCGGTCCTAACTCAGTAAAGCTCAGCATAATACACAACATAAATCAAAAAAGACATAATGCAGGATATCACAATACTCAATATAAGCACACAAGACCCTCCGGTCACACAAAATTACCACTCAAGGTAAGTATAGTGAGAAGACTCACCTCGTAAGCAAGCAAATAAACCCCGTACACGAATCACCGACCTAGCCTCCGCCTAACACATACAATAATTATCTCTAATTAACACATAAATCACAACTCCAAATAAACCAAGTCATTTTCTCTGTCTAATCTATTGGAATGGGTAAAAGACCATTCTACCCCTCCATGGTCTCCATATTCCCTGTCTTGACCAAACCCTAAGTTCAACTGAAGTCAACACTCGAGTCAACAGTCCATGTTGACCCGACTCGTCGAGTGCATCTATATGACTCATCGAGTCCCCTCGCTCCTTCAGAAGTGTCGCAAAAACCCAACTTAACTCGCCGAGTTACTCCTGTCCAGACTCGTCGGGGAAAACCCTAGCCGACTCGTCGAGTTAGCTCATCAACTCGGCGAGTCCCTTAAGTCTCTTTTCTCATTCAGACGTTTTAAGGTAGAGTTACAACCCCAATCTCTAGATCTAGCCTCCCAAGGCTGATATACCATGTAAAGCTGCAAGCTTTACGTCCATACATGGCACTTAGGGCTTGAAATGCCAAAACCAATTCCATTTAGGGTCCTAAGCTATAAAAATATCCTCTATCTTGATAAATCTTGGACCTTTAGGCTTAAGGGACCTCACAAGGTCCAGATCTGAAGTCTCAATCTATTGGCAAGCACAAAATGTTCAAAGTCTCAAGGGAAGATGGAAAAAGCCCTAAAAACTCCCTAGAAACGAGATCTAATAAAAAGGATGAGCAAGGTGGTGACTTTTACCTTCCAATATAAGATAAATAGTGGATGAACACCGGATCCAAGATTCCATTCTCGTTCCTTGCTTGATACTCTTCTCTTCTCTTCCACTAGTGAACAAAAATGCCCAAAGATTAGCTCTCTTTCTCTGTTAGATCAATATAGACGATTAGGGTTTCACACAGGGGAGTATGGTGGCTGGTGAGGCGGAAATGAGGGCTTAATGTCCTTTAAATAGGACCCAACCCTGGAGATTTAGGGTTTCCTCTCACAGCGCCAACTCGTCGAGTTGGCCCCTCCGACTCGTCGAGTTGGTCATAAAACCCACACGGCCAAATCCGTCTCTACTCGACGAGTTGGGGAATCCAACTCGTTGAGTTGCTCAATCAACTCATAAAATATATATATATATTATACTTGGGAGTCGTGATGTTACAATTCTCCCCCGCTAGAATCAGACTTCGCCCTCGAAGTCATGATTGGGAAACAACTCTGGGTACTGTTCGCGTATCTCGGACTCCGGCTCCCAAGTCCACTCCGATCCCCTACGGTGCTCCCACTGCACCTTAACCAGTCGCACCTCCTTGTTCCTCAAGGTCTTAACTTTTCTATCCAAAATCGTTGTCGGTCTCTCAATATAGTTTAGGCTTGCATCAACCTGAATGTCCTCTAACGGTACCACTGCTGTCTCATCGGCTAGACAGTTCCTCAGCTGAGATACGTGGAAGGTGTTATGAATCTGGCTCAACTCTGCAGGTAGCTCCAACCGGTACGCTACCTTACCCACTCGGGCGACCACCCTAAAAGGACTAATGTATCTAGCGCCCAGCTTACCCCGCTTCCTGAATCGGATCACCCCTTTCCATAGGGATACCTTCAGGAGGACAAAATCTCCGACCTGGAACTCTAGCTCGGATTGTTGCCGGTCTACGTAACTCTTTTGGTGACTCTGTGCCATCAGTAACCTCTGCCTGACCTCCTGAATTTGCTCGGTCGTCTTGAACACTATCTCAGTGCCACCCATCACTCTCTACCCCACCTCTCCCCAACAGATGGGAGTCCGACACCTCCTCCCATATAAGAGCTCAAACGGAGGCATACCAATGCTGGAATGATAGATGTTGTTGTACGAAAACTCAGCCAAGGGCAAATAATTGTCCCAACTTCCACCAAAGTCCATAACGTATGCACACAGCATGTCCTCAAGCGCCTGAATCTTCCACTCACTCTGCCCATCTGTCTGTGGGTGATATGCAGTATTGAAGTGCAACCGGTTACCCAACTCCTCATGAAACTTCTTCTAGAACCTGGAAGTAAAGCGCACATCTCGATACGACACTATCGATGTCGGGACTCCATGCCGTGCTACCACCTCTCTCATATAAATCACGGCTAATTTCTCTACAGAAGAGTTCTCACTGATAGCCAAAAAGTGAGCATTCTTCGTCAACCGGTCCACAATCACCCATATCGTGTCGACACCTCGCGCGGTTCTCGCTGATTTGGTGATAAAATCCATGGAAATCT